CATTACCATAACGATAAAGTAAAGCACAAGGTTGCAGAATTGCTTGTCTTAAGAACTGAATTAAGAATGTCTGTTAAATTCCAATTCACTTCCTGAATTTGAAATGAGGTAGACGAACAGGGTGAAGAATTGCAATTTGAGTTTAAAGAAGTAGAACTGAAATTAAATCAAGTATATTACAGTTAACTAAAACTAAAACCCATTTTAAAATAATTAAATAAATAAATAAATACTTGAAATAAAATAGATGAAATAAACGTAATATTATAGTTTTATTTCACCAACATTGATCATGTTATTTATCTTATCTTGATGTACTAAAATAACTAAATCTAAAGCTGAAATAAAAAATTATTATTCCAATTATTATTCAGGTAGTTCCAAGTCAGTTTAATCACCGTTCTATATTAATGCGCTGCTTTAATTGATGCACACTAACCAACACACATCACACAGAGAGAGAGAGAGAAAGAGAGATCGCTGATTGCGCTGCACACACACACACACACACACACACACAAACTTGTTGTCAACGCTTCCCGTGAATTCATTAATAAAATAGCCTAGATACTCGATCGCTACATTATATTCCCCAGCAACGAGGTGGTAAAATCGCTGTTTTTTAAGTAATTGTTTGTACAGAGAGACGCGCAGACGCAGAACGCAGGTACACACAACTGTCATCTCTCTCTCTCAAACGATCGATCGATAATTAATTGAAATACATGCTATAATTCATTCAAATAAATGTGGTCTTACCGCACTATTTCATCTCTGTGTATGATTTAAAGCGGGCAGAATCCTAGCACTAACATGTCGTAACTGACGAAAAGCTTGTAACACTCCAAAGAGAAAGGAAAACTTGAAATCGCATCATATGACCCCTTTAAAGGATTTTAAATGCACTTCGCTTTCGCTTTGCGGTTCTTTGCCTCCACGTCCTGCATTTAAAATCCTTTAATGCATGCACGGCTAGCCGTTGATTATCCCTTACTCAATAAAGACATAAAAATAATTACCAAAAATGACAAAAACACAATAAAATGTCTAAAAATAATTAATATTAAAATGAAAACAAAAATTATACAATTCAATTATTTTATTACAGATATTACTAAAACTACATTAGTATCTAAAATAATAGTGAGTGGAATAAGGTTTGAAAAATCTTCGCTGTAACTGCTAGGTATAAGTTTAGGTTTTATGAGGTATTTTTAGAAAGATTATATGACAGTACAGTAATATCTAATGTTTAAAATTCCTATGTGTATTTGTATATATTTCTTTGTATTAATCGCACTACATTTACACTATTATATATATATATTTGGCGAGTTAATTGTTTTGCCAGTATTTACTATATAGTTTAAAGAAATGTATTCTGCATATTAGGAAATATATTTGCATTATCTGTAAATTGAGGGTGTATTTATTTGTTTTGTGAAAATTCCTTCAAATAACAACAGAGAAAATTCCTCTTCTTGTCATGCCCATTCAAATTACAATTCAACATCCTGTGGAATGAAACCAATTTAATTCAAATTCACACTCATTATATGAATGGGGGCCAGCTCTTACATTCTGAATTTTGCCTAATCCTGCAAGGTAGCACTTCTTTATTCACTTTTCAGTATAAATTTGTATCAGGTAATGAGCTGATAGAATGTAATAAGGGTTCATGAAGCAGTTTCAGTTTCCTTAATGAGATGGAAGGAAGATAATATTACAGATAATTTTTGGTTTGCCATCCAGGTAACTTAAAAACCTTCCTTAAGCCATCTTATGAAGAACACAAGGTATCACTAGTCCAGTTCTGTTAGTATACTGGTCAAAAATAAATTCAGAGAAAAATAACACTGCCAAAGACAAAACACAATCATGAAACATACGAATGTGATGAAATGCCCAGGTAACACCAATGTACGAAGATGGGCTTTGTGAATACACTTTTTGAAAATTCTGTCATCATTTACTCAACCTCATGTCATTCCAAACCTGTATTTCTTTCTTTCTTCACCGGAACCCAAAATGGGACATTTTTAGGTGAATATCTTCACTTTTTCATCATGAAAGTAAATAAGAATGGGAGCTATCAATGTCTTAAATGGCAAAAAAAAAAAAAATAATAATAATAAAAATAAAATAAAAGTCTTAGCTTTGTGTGACCTGACTGAAATTTAGTCATTATTCTTCAGAAATTCACCCTGTTCCACTGAAGAAATAAATTCATGTGGGTTTTGAATGAGTAAATGGTGCAATTTTCATTTTTTTGGTGAACTACCCCTTTAAAAATTTATGGTATGACTACAGGTTCCCCTTTGTTCCTCCCTCTTTATCGCTTATCTCTCTCGCTCTCTGTCAAGGCCAACCTCTCTGACGTCACTCAGACAGACCGGCGGCTCCACGGTTCGTGTGTGTGTTTGTGTGTTTCGGCCGGGCCGGTAATGATGAGCAGATGGTGGTGCGTGCTGATGACCGGAGACTCTCTCAGAGCGCGCAGGACATCTGCTCTGTAGACATTCGCTGCTGTCACAGGCACTCCAAGTGCCAGTTTCCCCGTCCCTGTCCCTGCCTGTCACGACGAGAGACGCAGTCATGCCCACAAGACAGCAGTTGAATAAGACATCACCTGAGCAAATTCCCTAATCAAGTTTCAGCACTGTCATAAAAATCCATTTACATTGTCAATTCACACTATTTAAGATTCACAGCATAAGACAAGCATAATTTCCCCCATCTGATACTCATGAGATTTTTGGCATAACTAAAACCAAATTGGCCTATATTGAATTACTTTATCTGAATTTATTACAGAGATTGCTGGAATACTTGATTCTGATTCTGACCATTCATCTCGAAAACTATGTTGACATGTATAAATAAAGGTTCTTGGTGTTGATGGTTCTATGCAACCTTTAACATCAATGGAACCTTTTTATTGTACACTCTTAAAAATTAAGATTCTTTTTTGGCATCTATGATCTATAATAGAACATTGGAACCCATATATATATATATATATATATATATATATATATACACTGTAACTGATTTTTGTAATTTGAACAGTATTATACTGTAATATGTACAGTAA